AAGGAATTACCATAAGGTAAATTTGAACTACTCTATAAATATCCTACTCCCTCCCACATAGCAAAAATATTTAGCCAACATTCAAGAGAAAGGGAGAGTAGAGAATTTCGGTTAAGTGAGGAAGAAGAAGGATGAGGAGAAGATCAAGTCAAACCTTGGTGAAATTAAGTCCTAAATCAAGGCAAGAACATGACTTTCCTTCTAGTTCATGATGCTTTATGAATTGTTAGCTTTAAACATTTTTTTTAATGGAAGTTAAAGGTTAGAAGCCTTAGGGTTTGGTGCTGTCCAATTGATGCAAAATGAGATACGAATGATTTAAAGGCTACATATAAATTAGAGGATTGAAAATGGTTGGATGATGGAGTGTTTAAACTTTATTTTTTAAAAGATTCCAACTTGTGAAACCTAAGGGTGCAATTTGGCCAAACCTGGTTCTTTAAGCTAGGGTTTTATTTTTGTTAACTTGATGCTTCTAATGAGTTTAGGAGGTGAAATTGTGCAAGGATATACAGAGAACATACGTTTGAAAGCATCAAAATTAAAAATAAAATTTGTGAGCCCTGATGCATACCTCTCGGCCAAAGCTCGAAATGGGGAATGGAGCTGGATTTTGATAAATCTGAGTTCATATACGGATTCTACATGAAAAATTATGTAAAAATAGTACGTGGGAGTTAAGTTAAAGAAGATGATGCTAAAATCCTAAAATAAAAGCTAAAGGGTTAGGGTTTTATGTTAAGTGTTTAATGGAATTGTTTTAGTTGATTGGAATGCCATTATTGTTTGTTTGATAAGCATTGGCATTGAGTAAGAGAAGGCCCAAGAACAAAGACAAGGAATCAAGGAATCAAGCTTATTAAGAGGTAACAAGAACTTACAACTTTAGTGTTGAATTGCATGGGTTGTTTTGCTATGTGTGTTATGCCATAATATGGTTGAGTTATGGATAATGAAATGTGTTTAACTCCTTACATTGATACCTTGGCAAATATGTGTTGTTGGGTTGTTGAATTGTATGTTATGTGCTCCCTTTCCATAGCATAGTAATGGCATGATAATGTATGTAAATGCATGAGTTTAATGCTTGCATATAGCATGAACTAACCTTGCATTTTAATACTATGATTGTTGTTTTTGCTATTGAGATTTCTTTGAAATTTCACTTCCTTCTTATGAAATTGACTAATAGGGGTTGGTTCATCAAGGGACAAGGGAAAGAATATGGATGCTTGAGGAGATTGTTATGAAATATTATGCATTTCACATGTTATGTACTTATAAGAGTTATGGATTTGTGTAATGTTATGATAAATGCTTGTATGGATTATGCTCCCAATTCTTAGGAGGTGTTATAGTGGCTAATGCTTGCTGGTTTGAATGGTTATGGGTGAATATGGAAGTTAAATATTTAATTTCTTAAGATACGGCAATTAAAAAAGATTTATATGCCTTAAAAATCCTAGTTAGCTCGTGACTTTTCCAGGAAAATGACCATAAAATTTGGTGAACATAAAGTTCACATCTTAAGCTTTAAATGGAGTGGTAGATCAGTTAATTTGGAGTTGTATATGAAAAGTTATGAATTTTTGAATCTATGGTAAAAAGCTAAAAAATTAAAATTTGACCAAATAAATAGTGATTTTTGTAAGGAAAATGGAGACTGAATGGAATGAGTAATGAAATAGTGACTACTTTTCCTATGTAGAAAAATGTAAGAGCTTCAAATAAAACTTGGAATTACCTCATTTTGATTTTTCTAGAATTAGTTATAAATTTTTAAAGTTAGCAAAAATTTTAGGGTTACCAAATGAATAATAACCTGAGAATGAATTCTTCAAAGCAAGGTTTTTCTAAGCCTAATGCCATGTAATGTGATTCTATTGACTTGTTTTGGCTCTATATATAATGTAAAATCAAGGTGTTATAAAGATGATTGCCTCTAATAGGATAATACTTGCGCTTCGTAAAAAGAGAAAAGCAATGTGGATGAGAACAGATGTAATGTTATTGTCCACTTTTTTGAAAATCAAAAGATTTTTCTTTATGAACTGGCAGGTACAAACTCCACTCCTAAAGAATACAACTTAGTTGTGGATGGTTTAGGAAAAGAGAGCCTGAGAACTTCTTTTTTTTTTCTTTTTTCTTTTTTCACTACTACAAATAAGGTCATTTTTGTCTGTTTTGAAAAACAAAAGAATATAGGCCTTTAAACTCGTCTGTTAAAAGGAAATAGACGAGTATGGAATCTCATACTTGTTTGTTATGATGAAGAGACGAGTATGAGCTCCCATACTCATTTGTTTCTCTTAAAAATAGACAAAAAGCGTCTTTTTTTATTCAAATTTTATCTTTGCCTTGAACATGCTCTAGAAATACACCTTCTCCTTTCTCCTTCTTTCTTCTTGAAAATATTACGTGAGAGAAAGAGATTGATAGTCAGTCTCTATTTATAATCTCAATAACCTAAACAAAAATGTAGAAGTGAGCGTACCCCAAAGCTCTCTGGCGAGCTCTTTCTCTCCCTTCTTTGGATTTCTACTTCTCCTTTCCAATGTCGATGCCAATGATTAACTTTGTCTTTTCCCTCTCTAGCTAGCAGCTCATCGTCTTCTTCTTCTTCTCTCTCTCTCTCTTCCCCATTCTCCCTTTTTTTTTTTCCCTTTCTTCCCCATTCTTCATCCATGTCATCCCACGACTAGGAGCAACGTTTTCTTCCACAAAAGTCGCCATTCAATCGCGTCCACCTTAAGCTTGTTCACAACACGATGTAAGTGGCATGGGCATGTATGTCTTTTATATTATGTGAGTTTTTAGGTGTTGAAAGGAATTATCCAATTGTTTGTATGTGTGTATGTTTTCTATTTAAATTGATTGTTGGGAAGAATTGCACTTAGGAATTATTCAAAATTGATTGGGTTACATTTTGATGATTAAAAAGCTTGCTAAACTTGTTTAAACCTTAATGCACATAAGGTATTGTGAAAATGTCTAAGAGAGCAATTTGATTGGAATGTAATAGCTAATTAAGTATTTTCAATGTTTAATCTTTACATTGAATTTTAGAAAGCTTTAGATACTATTTAAACATATATGTATATAACTTTATTTTTATTACTTTGTACATAGGTGGATACTGTTGGAGAAGTGTGCTTCAAATTATATTGAAAAGCTTGAGTTGAATATTGCAATCACCTAATTAATATTGCAAGTAAGCTTGAAATTTTTTTTTTGTTTGGATGCTTTGTTCTTTTTGCTTAACTAAGTTAATTAATTAGGATGTTATTTGTTTTAAATGTTTTAACCCTTAAAATTATGGATTGACAGGATTCTATTTTTGTGGAAAACATGTACTTTGGTTGTGCTGAATTGTTGTTATTATTTGCTATAATATGTTTCAGTTCTGCTATGTATGCTTTTATAATTGCATGTTGAATAAAAAATGGCAATATAAAAATTTTTACCTTTTTTTTCCAAACAAAATACATATTCGTCAGTTTTGACCAGAACAAACAAATATGCATGCTCATATTCATTTGTTTTGGCCAAAATAGATGAATATGCAGACCACATATTTGTTTGTTCTAGCCAGAACAGACAAATATGCATGCCCATATTCATCTATTTCATAACAGACTAATATATGAATGCCAATATTTGTCTGTTTTAAAACAGATGAATATATAATTACTATCTATGTCTCTTCTATCAATGTCTCCTCCAAAACAAACCAAAAAAGGCCTTCAAAACAGACAAAAATAACATATTTTATAGTAGTATTTGCTACAAAAAAGTTTCGATGAGTTAGATCCCGAGAATTCATCAGAACCAGAGTATGCCTCTATACCCAGAAAACATTTACAAAAGTACTTATAGATCACCCAATGACAAGGTTCTCATATCAACAGCGGTATTTAAACTCACGACCTTATAGGTTATAAGTCGACTTCTTATCAACTAGACCAACACTTGTTGATTGAGAACTACTTTTTTATTTGACACAGCTTCTCAACACATAAGGGCTTTGGCTCATAAGGAGGCTATAGGATTGCAATCCTCTGTGTTTAAATTTTCTCTTTTAATCTTCAGCCTTCTTTTGTACCCAAAGAAATTTTACTTTTTGTGTTCCCATGGAAGCCATGACTTGGGATTCTAGAGGGTCAACTAATGATAATTAAGAGTGGCATGAACGTAACGAAGGATTAGTGACATGAATCATACAAATCTCATTAAGAGAAAGGGCAAAGATGATACTTTCTTTGATAATTTGTACCTTAACTCTTATTTAAAATTCAGGAATATTAAACTTTTATTGCTTTCGAGTTAGTTTATTTCATAATTAATAGTTTTATAAACTATTAATTTTGAAGTATTCAAATTTAATCTAATGATTGAAGTAAGTGGAAAGGGAGAGGAAAGTAGAGAGAATCTTCTCCAACATATATGGATATTTTGGTAAATGTGGCATTGAGTAAACATAACAATCAGATTCCATTTAACTTTTTTTTTGGTAGTAAACTCCCATTTAAATTTTTTTTGGGTAGTAAAATTACTGCTAAAAGTCTCTTTCAGTGGTAATTTTTAAAGTTGTCATTGACAGAAAGACTTTCAGGTGAGTGCATAGAGTTACTATTAAAAGTTTCATTTTTAATGGTGATTTTGTAAAGTCGTTACTGAAAATCTGTGGCAACTTTAAGAGTTGTCGCTTACAGTGTGTTTTTTCATAATCACCACCATAAAAATCGTTACTAAAAGTAATTTTCTTTAATTGATTCTTTGTCCTAGCTATGTACAATTATGTCGACAAAAGAGTTTATTACAATCACACTGAGTAGTTGTATTATATTTCCTTTACACAACATTATATACAGAAGGGTCATGTACAAATGGATGAGATCATATATATGGGTGATGCTTCAATAGCTTCATCAAACCCCCCTCTATATATACATATTCCTTATACGACTAAAAGGAGTAATGAGGATTAGAAAGTAATGTAGCTAGGATAACGAATGTGATTTGAAGTAAGCCAAAGCTCCCACAAGAGGAGCATTCACGTAAGTGGTAGGTTCAGAGTGAATAAAATGAAGCCGAGAATCAGAGTAAGAATCTGTGAAATCAGGTCCTCCAACCACCGCACCCACAAGCAAATTAGGGTTAGGGTTTTGGGTTTCAAAATAAGAGGAGCCTCCTTTGCAAGTTATGTGATTTGGTTGGGTATCTAAAGAAGGCAAGGACGAAGCTCGATGATGTATTCTTTGAGGGTATTTTGATCCATATCCCACCATGTATGACATTTTCAATGGGTTGTTTCCAAGTATGTAATCCACCTGTCAATAGCCATAGCCAAACAATTACAAGAAACAAATTGATATCGATGTTATGATAAACTAAAATCACGTATTGTTATTTATCTACTAGTATAAATAAACAAAAATATAAACCTGGCTTTTTGCAAATTGGATAAGCCTTTCTGGAGTAACAAGGACATGGCCACAATTAATATTTGAGTTTGATTCTTTCAAGTAGGAAGCATAAGCCAGAAACAGAAAAGAGTATGAAGTTGCATGCTGCATGTTACTTCCTCTAGCCTTGAATAAAAGCCCACCTGCTTTTGCCAAAAACCAATTTATACTGATGAATACTACAGCATTACAACTTGTTTACCGTGAAGAATAGATAAATATAATTAAATAATCCCCGCCGGCAGCCGCAGCTGCTGGGTCTCCGATGAAGGGTTGGAAACTTTTTGTTTTTAAAATAAGGGGCACTTTTGTTATTTCTCCTAAATTTTAAAATGCCAATTTAGGTTTACTCCCTTCCTAGCGATTTTGAAATCTAAGGTGTATGAATTAAAATATTAAAATTTCCAACTTCTTTATATGCCATTTTTCATATTTTGTTTATATGGAATAGAAAGAAATCCCTTTGGCATTATATATTGATTACCTGGAGAGTATGAGACGGACGCAGCAGGTGAGTCAGGAAGCACAGCACATACAAACTTATTTGCATCGGTGATGAAAGGCTTACTAGCAGCCGATGAACTATTTATTAGAAACTGTTAATTTAAAGAAAAGCAAAAGATTAGGGAGAAATATTGAAATCTAATTGTGCTTACTGAAAAATACGGTTTTCACTATATAGAAATTAAAGACAAATAATGTTAAAGGGAGAAGTTTGAATGTGAATGTTTTAAAGTTACCTAAGCCAAATAAAGAGATAAACATATGATAGCCGGTAATACTTCTAAGATTTGAGTCTTATAAAAATGGTTTTTACCCTGATATGTCTCTTTTTCCTTTCATTTTGACCTTATTTATTAGTTACGTTGTTGAAAAGGACATCATATTCTATTACATGAAATTCGACATTAAAAGAATTTATTTTTGGCAATAGCTGTTTGATATCGACACTAAAAGTCATTTTTTGCGACCACTTTTTATTGCACTAAAAGTCTACTTTTAATGATGACTTTTGTTGGTGATATTGTTTGCCGCTGAAAGTAAACTTTAAGAGTTGAAATTTTTTGTCCTCATAAGAAGTTTTTTGATTTTTTTTTTGTAGTATGGTGAACAAATTCTCTAATATAAAGTGAAGCTCTATAAGCATTCTTTTTCTTTTCTCAAAATTCCCTTCACCACTGCATTCTACAAGTAGCCTTATCAATATTTTAATATTGTGATCAATGTGGATAAAATAAAGGCTAGCTTTGGAACGTTATGGGTGGTGGCCCGGGGTGGGGGGGGGGATAAACTGTTACCTAATTTTAATTATCTTTTTTAATCTATGATTCATTTAAAAAGGTCATATAATTAAAGAATAATGGAGAATCTACTTTTTAACTACTTTTTAATACTATTGGGACATAAAAAATTTTCAAAAAATCTTTTTTTTTCCCATTTCATTTCATTTTCTATTTCAGTCCACTCTCGCAATCCAATGAGACATTTAGTTAAAGTCACCTTATTAGGACATTAGAATCAGAAAAGATAGATGGACATGTATCCCTTTAATCAGCCAAAAAGGTTTTTTTAAAAAAACATAATATACCTTAGAAATAAGAACATTGATGCCAGCATCCTTTGTGTCCCAACCAAATTCACCAAAGTTGTTCAGATTGTGAATTTCTCTGTTGACATAGTCCCAATATTTAGGGAGATTAGTAGCCTTGAACAACCATGCCGCTCCCCACACCAATTCATCCTATTATTATTATTAAGAAATTGCATTAAAAAGAATCATATACTCAAATAAATTACACACAGAGATTTCTTTCCATATTTTCAAAAGTAGTAATATATATGCAATCTTTTCAATTTTATTAAAATTGCATATTTTCAAACAATGAAATACATACTATTAGGTCTCGAAATTCAAAAAGCATAATCAGCGCAGTTTCTACTTAGGAAAAATTGCTTAAAAAAAATCCCTTGTTGAGGTATTTATTGCCTAAAAGTACGTGAAATTTTGTTTAGAAACTCGTGCAGTTCATCTTTAGTGGCTGTAATTTTTTTTTTTTTTTACAATGTTTAAGCATAAAATATCTTCAAATGCAAAGCTATGGATTATATTGTTATTAAGCCAGAGGCCTACCTGGTAGCCTCCGAAATTACAATAAAAAGGGCAAACCCAAGGTCCAAGGCTGTCATTATATGATCCTCTGTGCTTATCGGCAAACTCAAAAACCTGATCATTTCACACATTTAAATGCAGAGAAAGAAACATGTTAGCTATTTCCTTTTTTGTTAGAATAAAACAGGAAATCTATTCTCATTGGGAAATTTTCTCTTTTCTCATCCATTTGATCTGTGAGAAAACCACAGTTTTTGGTGAGTAATGATCGAATTGTGTGAAATAATAATCAAAGGAAGCGTATTTACATACCATTCTAGCCCTATTGAGGAGCCTTGAAGAATACCCAAGGTGATGCTTTTCGAACACAATGGAAGAAGCAGCAAGTGCAGCAGCAATCTCCCCAGAAACTTCACTTCCAGGGAACTTCTTACTCACAGCAAAGGCTCTTCTTGAAGTGTCCATATCTTCAGGTCTCTCCCAGCAATTATGGTCAGCATTAGGGTCACCCACCACTGCGAAGACAATCCCAGGAACACTTGTGGCTTTCATCAGATAGTCTGTGCCCCAACGAATAGCGTCCAATGCGTATTTCAAGTCTGATACACCCATGAATTCTCCAAACTCTATCACACTCCAAGCCAACATTGTTGTTGAAAATGCCATTGGGAAGTTGAATTTAACATTGTCTCCTGCATCATAGTATCCTCCCACTAGGTCCACCTGTTTAAGGTTTGAAAGGATCATACGAATGATCAAATGCAATAAAATTATGATGATGAAGAGAAGTATGAGAGAGAAGAATTACTTTTGTATTAAGGAAATGATGAAGAGAGAGAGTATGAGGAATCTGAAAGCCATCTTTGAGAGCTGAATGTTTCCTCCAAGTCATCCTTTGGTTTGCTGGTAACTTCCCTGATCTTTGCCCTTCGAAGAACAAAATGCTTTTTGATAATGCTTCTCCATAGTTCTGTGCAGCCATGCTTGTTTGAGTCATCACCATTATTAACAGAATACCAGCCATTATCATCACCAAACCCATTGCTCTCTCTCCCCCTTCTTCTCTTTCTCTCTTTGGCTTTTGAGAATGAAAACCAAGTTTATCTCTTTGTTTGCTTAATTGGAGAATGATGAGGTTTATATAATAACACGAGGAGATTATTCAAATTAACAAATCAAAAGTATGCTTTTGGTCAAAAGGACTGGGAAGTGAATCTTTATACGTACGGAAGATCTATCCATTTGTCACTTAGATAGCAAGCATTTCTTTGTGTTTTTAAAGCAAAGGAAAAGGACTTTGAACAAAAGGAATGTTTGTGCAATTGTAGCTAAAGTTGAGGAACGTATATGTACTTTTATTTTTTATTTTAAAGCAAAGGAAAGGTTGCGTAAGTTTTGAAAATATATATGTACAAGAGAGACTTGTGTAATTTTAAAAATTCATAGAAAGTTCGTGCAATTCACTTTTTATTTTTTTAAAAGCAAGCCCATATGGACTTTGAACAATATGCATGTATAAGAGATATTCATATAATTTAAATGGAATTTATAACTGAATTGATGTCTGAATATATAACTTCTTTATTAAGAGTAGTTCGCATGTACTTGGGTGGCATGTGGTTTTGTGACTTAGACAATGTGCTTAATTATCTTCTATTGCACTCCATTATTAATCGTCTCTAGTTAATTTTGACCACCTTAATTAATTAAAATTCAAACAAAAGTTCCACGTCTGTTCTACGATCTGCTGGTTGAGTGAAAAACATTAGTTCTAATTATAACTTCTTCTTTAAAATAGGGAAGAAAAGTAAATACATGGAACATACATGAAAGATGAAGTACTAATAAGTAAGCAAAACAAAGAAACTAACAAGAAGAAGAAAGAAAATGGGTTCTTCTCTCTTAAATTTTTTCTTAAATTTCACTACTTTGTGCTAATCTAATTACTAAGGAGCTCTATGGGATTTCCACGCAAATATTAAATATGAAAGCCGCCTTTGCCACAAAATTAAAGAAATAAAACTACCCCTTCACTTTTCCTAATTTTCATTATCAAAATTATATAGATATTCCACATTTCAAAGGAATGTGGTTATGTAGAATGACCAATCTTAGTTTTTTATGTCAAAGAACTGCAAATTTCTAGAAGGGTTAAGGTGTCACTTTTCCTTGAAAGTTTTCACTCATGAGCACCAGGTATTTGGAAGTTCTTGTAGGAGCAAATTTTTCCAGAAAGTTTAAAATTGTAGCTGTATTGTCCCATGTCGTTAAAAGACTTATAGTTTAAAATTATAGTAATATTGCCCCCAATCATTAAAAGACTTATATTTATCGTTAACATAATTATGTTGACTGTTAATATTTCTTATGGTAGGAGGCAATATTGTTACAATTTTAAACTTTTGGGTATTAGCTTCCTAAAAAACTTTTGAATACCTAATGCTCCTAAGTGAAAACTATCAGGGCAAATTTTCATCTTAACCCATTTCTAGAAATTACTTTGAAAGACCAGGGATGATTTCCTCTGCAAAAGGAAAAAAATTTATGATGATCGAATTGCCCTTACTGTTAAATTTGGGATTTTTGAGTGTTGACCTGAAACTTGTAAATTTATGTTTTTCAAGTGTTAATTAAATACTTACAGAGATCACGAATTTACAAGTCTATGTCCGAGTTGAGTTTGATTTCCAATACTTTGACAATATTTTGTAAAAATATTATTACAATTTGGAATTCTAAAACATGCATACATAAATTTAGATAGTTAAAATGTGATCTAAACAATTTCTCAATAAGAGAAAGCCAAAAAATATTCCATTTTATATAATATTGAAATAAAAATGAAGTGAATGGTTGGAGTAGAAATAAAAAGACACTGCATGCAAATGTTTCAATAATCTTTGATCCTCCTTGGCTGTGCTTTAATTGTTAATTATATCAAAAAATTTTGGCAAGTCACTTTCAGTTTGTACTTTTAGTTATAACAAAGCCTATCTATGTTTATTTTCTTTAAAAAAATGTCTTAATGTTCAATTGATCAACATAAAGGCATTTTATATTGAATGATTCGATGGATAAACACTTTGTCTTATCCCAGAAGTACGCCTTCCCTCACGTGGAAAGGGCACATCAATGAGTAATTAAGCATCGTAAAAGACCAAACTTAGAACCTTCAAGGAACCTGATGAGCCGTTGACCTTTCCTCAAGAAGTTTGTAAGGACCAGTTTGTAATTTCCTATGAACGTATAAAGCATCTTTCATTCAAAATAAATTAATAAATAGTAGTATAGGGGAAAAATAACAAGCCGGACTAATTCAGGTAAAGTCAGCTGCCAAAAGGTAGAAAATTTCACAGTGGCAAACTCTAATATCAAGTATTTAACGCCATTGTATTTTCAAAACTTGAAGGTGAAATTAAACCTCTAGTTAACTACTATAACTGTTTTATTAGTTCAACTAATTGCTTGATGGTGATAGATTATTTAATTTTAAACTATATCGTTCTCATACTCTCACCATCACTTGCTTTTCTTTATCATGTCTTATTCCAGCGCACATTATTTTCAACTGTCCTCTTTCTCCAACTCTTCTTTATTCACATGTTTACGTTATATAATTTATTTTTAAAATATTTTTTAAAAATGATTGTTGCATATAAAAAAAAGGGTTAAAAGCAATGGGTGGTGGAAATTTTTTTGTATAAACTTGTCTCAAAAGTTTAAAATTAAAGCAATATTGCCCTTTACTATTAAGAAACTAATGTTGACCATTAAAATAATGACGTTGACCTTTAATATTTTTAGCGATAGGGAGTAATATTGCTAGAATTTCAAACATTCAAAGCAAATTCGCACTTAAGAAAATTTCCAAATGCCCGGCCTCCTGAGTGAAAAATTCCTGGCCAAATTTGTACCTTCACCTAGTATTTGTCAAATAATTGTGATTATAAAATGCTTTTTATAAAATATTTTCAATTAATAACATAAGAAGACTAACTAAACTTTTTTTTTTAATGGAAGAGTAATTGATGAAATTCCAGATGAGATGGGTATTGCAATTTCTTTTTTCTTGGGAGAAGCTACAAAATATGCAGAGGGTGACTGATTTCTTCATATATTTTATTTGTTATGAATATATATAATATCTTTGTAGATGTCCATATATCTCTCATTATCTCTACATCCCATAATTATCTATTATTATTATGTAATCTATAGATTCTGACAAAGATGTAAAGCTCTATCTATAAATAGAGACTATGTATCATGTGTTCAGAACATTGAATGCAATGAGAAATACTCCTATCTTCTCTTCTTCTCTACTCTACCTTTAGTTCTATAATACGTTGTCAGCATGGAGCTCTAAACAAGGTATGTATGATATACCTTTAGATCCTTTGCATAACTTTAGAGCATCATCTTTATGATTTTTCTAGAGTATTCTTTGCTTTATTCAAATGAAAATATCTTGAATATCGTATATATGATGTTTCGGAGTATTCCATATTTCTATTCAATTTATCTGGGATAATTTAAGTTATTATATGGAATTAAAATGATCACTTACTGTTGTTTTAAACATTGGGTTCTATGGCTAAGATTGGATATTATTATTACTTTACATTTTTGTGCTATAATTTAATTTTGATATGAATATTATCCTTTTGAATTAAATGTAAGGGAAAATTGCAAAAAAAGACCTTGGAATTGCAAAAACGCAGATAGGGACCCTTGACAACTTCACTTTGGGTTTTGACAACTTCAGGGCATATTATTCTTGTCAAAACCCAAAGTGAAGTTGTCAAGGGTCCCTATCTGCGTTTTTACAATTCCAAGGTCTTTTTTTGCAATTTCCCCTAAATGTGATATGATGAATTTGTTTTTATCTATTCCTCAGTAACCTGACGTCACTATTTTCGATGGAACCTGAAGTTCCAATTGATATTTTTATACATCCCTTGATGACTTGGTGCATTAATTTAGATGGAACCTAGAGTTCCAATCGATACTTATGATTACATATGGCCAATGCCTAAATTGAGAATTTGAGGGAGTAATGGTTACAATATGGCTAAAAGTCATATTCAAGCAAATGGCAAAATTTGTTGTAGAGCCAAAGAGCCACAAGATATGGGAGTAAACGCTTAAAATGCTCAAATGCTAACAATAAATGGCAAAATTTATTGTGGAGCCAAAAGGCCACAAAATATGAGGGCAAAACCTTAGAAAGCTCAATGCTAGCAATACATGTAAATCCAATTGATACTTGTGGACTCCTTAAAGGATTTGTCTTCAGATTCATTATTGAGATTGAAGATAGATTTATCCATATAAATTTGATTCTCTATCTCTTTGAAATTAAATGACCATTAGCCGTGACACTCATGTTATGGCCAGAAGTCATACAATTTTGATTTTCTATGTTATGGCTAGAAGTTATATGGTTTTGAGTTTCTATCTTATTAAATCGCTAGATGCCATATATATAACTTCAATTTTTTATCTTATATCGCCAAAAAGCCATATATTTATTTATTTTATCTTAAGATTAAATGGTTAGAAGCTATATATATACATATCTCTGACTTTCTATGTTAAAATTAAATGGCCAAGAGTTATATGGATAAATATTTAATTTTATATCTTGAAATTAAATGTCAAAAGCTATATATATATATATTAATTTTTATCTTATTAAATGGCTAGAAGCCAAATAATTTTGATTTTGAAAAGGATCACTACATGATTTGTTTATAAAGAAAAATACAACAACAACAACAAAACCTTATCTTATTAGGTGGGGTCGGCTACATGGATTGTACGATGCCATTGAGCCCTATCTAAAGCCAAATCTTTGGATATTTTGTTAATTGAAAGACCTCGCTCAATGACTTCATTAAATATTGTCTTCAGCCTTCCTCTACTCCTTTTTAAAGGACTCTATACTATTTGATCAACTCTTCTCACAGGTGCGTCCCAAGGCCTTCTTTGCACATGACCAAATCATCTCAATTGGTTTTCTACCATTTTCTCATCAATAGC